ATGTATTTTAAGTAATTTTAAAGGCTATTGTTCACTTACATCTATTTTTATTACCACAAAAAAATGTATTATAATTATAGGGCCCTATAAAATCCGTTTTATTTCCAAATTCAGTTTTTTTTCCATTTTAATTTTTCTATACTCTGTTTTAATGGTTAAATAAAATTTTATTAATCGAAAAGCCTGTCTAATTAATTGAGTTTTACAGTTTTATCTTTACCAATTTCTGTTTTCCATTATTTTCTGGATTCCATTTTAATGGTTCCATTAAAGTTTAATAATCGAAAGCATCTCCAATTAATTGATTTTATTAAAAAAAAATAATAATAATAATCTTTTTTTTCTTAATAAAATATTCTTAAGTAAAATTGTAGATTTTTTTGTGGGAAAATCAATCGTTTAGATTAATCAATAAATTATTCGATAGATTAATCGAAATAAAAATAGTCGTTAGTGGCAGCCCTAAAAGACGGACCTTTTCTACAAAGTATGGGAACCGTTTGTAAATTATTTGGACCCTGGGATTGCCAATATTATGCTGTTTGGTTTTCATGGATGAAACTCTACCAATATATTGAAATTTGGACATTTGAGCAGGGTTATTTTTTTCTACTTTGTTTTAGTTCTTATTTTTCTTAAGATCCAAGTGAATGGATGTTGTTGATGTCTTTGTCTATTGTGACTTGCAGTTTGTGAAAAATCAATAAAAAAAGAAAAAAAAAAAAACATTAATGACAGACAGCAGTAGGTTTATTAGGCTGCTATCTCTTTAAGACAGAATGCACAGATCTAATATACTGACATGCATCTGATTTCTTTCCCAAATTTTTTATGCTCATTTAAGACATAACTGACTGTCTTTATGTAAATACTCACGAGAATGGACAATTTGACATTTTTTGTGTATGTTTGACAATTTATGCAAGCGGCTGAAACACCAAGTATACTTTGCTTGTTCGTGTTTAGTTCTGTATCAGAGTGTGCACACTAAAACTGAAACTAGTTTTAACATTATTACGAGAAAATAAAAGATCATAATCTCTACGATTCACTTGAAAAGTAGATTTTAGACATCTTCAAGATCGATCACATTATAAAATCATCAGATCGCCCACCCCTAATAGTATATAAACAATACTAAAATAACACTGATAAAGAGGGATCAAGGTTGCCAAGGTCATGTGTGTAATTAAAGGTCATGGGTTTGATTAAATGTCATGGGAGCTGTTAGTTATGTGATGCTTTAGTTAGTTTGTGACACTGTCACTGAACTAAATTGATCTGAATAATGACACTATTGTCTTCTGTAGAGCTGCTTTACAGCTGAAATGGAATTAGTTTCATAATTGATGAGTTTTGCAACATTCGCACTGTTATTTGCCTGTTTATCACTGTGAATCTGCTTTGAATCTGTGTTGTATAAAGCACTATATGAATATATTTGATGTGTTTTTTTGTGTAGAGAGTGTTTGCAGTGCTGATCAGACGGTTACGACCGCTGCTCCGACTCTATCACCCAGAACCACTGTTGCCCCGTCACCCATCCCACTGCCCGCACCGGAGCGTGGAAACTACACCATCACAGACGGCAATGGCACTGCCTGTCTGTTGGCACTCATGGGGCTACAGCTCAACATTACGCACCACTCAAAGTCTCTGAACAAGGTGACAAATGCTCACGGTCACTTCCTGCTGATGTTATGTGTTTGACCGCCGCTGATGTTTGATCTGATCCTCCACAGACCGTCAGTAAAGTCATGAACCTGCAGCCCAACAGAACCACAGCCTCGGGGTCATGTGGGGTCCCCAGGGCCACGCTGATGCTGTCTGAGGATCTCACCAACCTCACCTTCACCTTCACACTGGTGTGTGTGTGTGCTTTCTGTGTCTGAATGTCTTGTAATCAAAATATGATGATAATCGGGATGTTTTGTGTGTTGCTGCAGAACCTGACCACACAGAAGTTTTTTCTGAGTGCTGTGAATGTCTCTGCCTTCTGGCCTGACATGACAGGTACGTGTTCAGTTCACTAGTCTGTAGGATTATTAGAACGATCATTTAAATCTATTAAATTAATATATGATGTACAGATAGAGATGTGCTCCAGCAACAGGATGTCCACCGATCCTTAAAAAGCATTCAAATGTCTTAAATTCACTTTTCAAAATTTAAAGGGGTAGTTCGCCCAAAAATGAAAAATACCAACCAGTTGATGGTAACTTCCATGGAAAATAGTGCATAATTTTGTAGTGTATATACTGCATTTTAGATTCTTTCTTTTAGTGTAAAGATGGTGATAGATGACATCAGGGGCACAGCCATCATTCCAGAAGTGAGGGGGACAGAAATGTCAAATGTAATACCTTTTTTTGTCCAGTTGACAGGTTTTATTTTTTCTTATCTCTTACTTTTAATTGGCTAAGAAATCAAATACACTGCTGGACAATAACCAATCATTTGTATTCTATCATTTTTTCCCCTATATTTTCCTAATGACAATTTTATGATTGGTTTATATACTATAAACACTTTTTTCCAGTGTTATCACAGGATAAGGCAAAACATATTTTTTTATAGTTTCTATACTGTAATAAATTGTCAATACTGTAATGAAATGTCAGTTAGCACTGCATTATTCATAAACATTATTTATTACCTGGCGATGACTTGAAAAACTCACATAAACCATATATTGTTGCAATTGTGTTTATTGTCTTTACGTTTCATCAGTCAAAACATTTCTGTTTTTTTATTCAGCTTAGCTATAGCCATAGCTGGATTCCTTTGTCCATATTAGGGATTTCCTGGCACATCATAGGCCATGTCTCAAATGGCACAGATCATGTGCACTTGCATACTTGAGGACTTACAATGGCTGTCGCGTGCGCATGTCTGTTTCTTCTTTTTAGCTTTCAGAAGGGTGCTTGCGAGTGCACCCCTTTGCGGCCACTATGCGCCCTCCATGTGCACTTCCGGCGAGCCCCACAGCAGACTTCTTACTAGAGATGCACCGATTGACCGGCCAGTGATCGAAATCGGCCAATTTTTCACATGACCCGGATCGGTGACCGGCCGGTCAGTCTCACGTCTTACCAATTCCGAGCTGATCCTTTTATTGCCGGCGGCGCCGGCCACGCGCACACTCACAGTCGCGTGTAAACATGTCGTTGCGCGTGAGAATTAATCTAATTTTAATTGAAATTCAGTGTAAACGGCAACTGATAATGTATTTATGTCGTGCCAGATGAGGCTTGCACAGCCTGAGAGAATGTGTGACACACAAAGTAACTCACAGAAATGTATAGATGCATACTGCGGTAGAAAAAAAAAGATATTTAAAAAAAATATGATTAAGGTAAGCAACATTATAAGGCCATGATGTTTCCCCAAATATCAATATTATCAACACGATTGCAATGTGACACTGATTTTATAAAATAGTATTTCAATAAACTAGAAGTTAAAATTAAGTGACTTAGATTTTAGACAAAATATTAACCGTTTTTGCTCAATTTCGCTGACGAAAATAGTTCAGATCAAAGCCACAGCAGAACTGTTGTGTGTCTCCGAGCAACACACAGCGTGTTTCGTTATTGAATGAATCCTTGAATGAATCGAGTGAGTCAATGATTCAGTGGCCCATTTGTAAGGACAGTCACTTGCCTCGTTTCTGAATGAATCAGCCGTTTGAATGAATCGGTTGAATGAATGAATAAATGACTCACTCGTTAAAACGGACATTTGCCGCCACCTACTGGTGGTTTAGTCATATTTAAAAGTATCATTGCATTTTTTAAAAACATTTATTTGTTTTAAAAAATATTTAAAGCATTAATCTTATAAAATTAGTTATGCATTTGAAATTTTGCAGTGTAAATGCATTTATGGCACCTCAGCTTCATCAAACTGTCTGTGTAAATGCATCTAATGCCACTTCAGACTCAGCTTCTGTTTCCAAAGTTAACTATTTCTTCCTCTTTCCAGTCACAGAGCACTTTATTTTGAGAGTTGTTTAAGTGAGAGAAAATCTGTAACTTATATGTAAATAATTTTACATTGAAATTTGCATAGATTTTTGTTTGTATATGCTGTCACTTATAGTTCTTAGAAAGAAAATCGGAATCGGCAAAAAATCAGTATCGGCAGATCATGCTAACAAAAAATCGGAAATCGGAATCGGCCAAGAAAATTGCAATCGGTGCATCTCTAGTTACGATATAAAAAATCGGTATCGGCAGGTCACACTTCCAAAAAATCGGAAATCAGAATCGGCTAAGAAAATTGCAATCGGTGCATCTCTACTTCTTACCCAACAGTCAAAGTGGCATTACGTCACGAAAGTGAGGACTCAGAGGAAGACCGCGAGGGATTAGGGTGCGATTTGGGAAAGGGCCATAAGTTATTACTTCTATGAGTAATATTTCTATTTTGAAATTTCTGTGTGAGAGTGCCCTCCGGCTTCGAGCATGAATAGACTGCATAGACTGCATGAGAGTCTTAAGCACTCCATAATGTTCGCATCGCCTCATTTTGGATACGAATAAAACATCAGGTCATGCATAGACTTCTTGTCTCTATGAATTTGAATCTAGATTTATTCCCACTGGCCCTTGAGAAACTCTGCGTGAACACACTTACCCGAAAAAACTAATTTGCTTTTTATTAATAGTGGAAACCACTTGCCCTGCATATTCTACGCCCATGGTTGACATTTATTCATAAAGATTTACAAAAAACTGAATCACCCAGCTGAGCCATCTGAGGTTAAAAAGCTGAATCATAATGATAGGCGTTTAATAAAACGCTCTGATTAATCATGAAATATTAATTTTTACCTTTGTTTTGCTACAGATTGGTTTAAATTCGTTTAAAAAATTTTTGCATTAAAAAAGTCTTGTCTCATTCAATTTTTTATATATTTCATGTTCTTAAACAGTAATATTTATAAAATTATTTGAACATATTGATCCATGACTGGTTTGTGAATCCTCCATCTACCTTAATTTTAACATAGGAGCAGCGCATCAAACACAGAACGATTGTTTTTCTGTGTGATTGATTGTTTTACTCTCACGTGACTGATGTCAGTAATAAAGGTCTTATTGATCAAATGTTTCATGTTGTGATTGTGTGATTACTGTAGATTGGTTTGTGGAGGGAAACGGCTCTCTGAACTTCCTGCAGTGCAGCGTGGGCCGCTCGTACATGTGCAGTGCGGAGCAGATGCTTGCTGTGGTGCCCACCTTCTCCATCAACACCTTCAGACTGCAACTGCAGCCTTTCAACGTCACTGCAAACCGCTTTGCTGCAGGTACTGACCAGCGGTCATGTGATCAGATGTTCAGTTGGTCTGTTTCATGTTCAGTGTGACACTGTCACTGTCAGTCAGTCAGTCATTCCATCTGATTCCTGAAGGGTGAGACACTGACGCTCTCACAACATTGATCTGTTTGTTTGAGTGACATGTCTACTTCTGACTCAACCAATCATGCGAGTTTGGGGCGGGATATATGACTGACTGACCAATAACAGACAAGTGTTTGAAACAGTCATTAATGTTGCAATTCAGTGTGTAACAGAAATCAAATTCAAATCAAATAGAATGACATCACTAACCAATCACAGGGTTTCTGCAGGTTATTACAAAGTATTTAAAAGCCTTAATTTGTTTTAGATGTGAAGTCCTAAGTACTGTAGCAAAATTCTTAATTGTAATTTGAAGAGGTCTTAAATTTGGAGACGGAAAAAGAGTTGCCATGATATACAGTTATGAATATTAAACTTCTAAAGGCGATGATTCAGTTAAATAGTTGTGAGTGCTGCACATTTTAAAGTCAATTGCAGCGCTGTTGCAACAGGATTGCAGTTTTAGAGCAGTTCACAATCAGTGAATGCTGCACATTTTTACAATTGCTTATGATACACCTTTGATGAATTGACAATGTTTACGTTATGGTTTTTATTATTTTATTAAACCTTGTAGATGGTTTTAAGATGCATATTTTATGTCTCTTATCTGTTTAAACGAACAGCTGAAGCAGTAGTGTAGACTGTTTAGTGGAAGTGTAGACATTTTAAAATAAGAGTTCTGGTGTATTTCGGGCTACGTTAATTAAAAGTCCCTCATTATGCATTAAATCTTTTTTTTTTCTTGCCTATTATTGGTGTTTTGGTTACATAATAACCAGTATCTAACATTTAAATCAAGGTAAACTCTTGTATTTTCTCTCTGAATCGCCCCATCACAGGAAAGAAAGACTAAGAACATTAACACATTCAGTTTGTAGATTTGATAGTATCAGCACAGTAGTCTTTTTATTGCCTTTCTTTAAACACATCAGAAAAATCCAGTATTGACTGACCTCTACTTCATGGGTATTGATATATGAGAACATAAACCAATTTCAATATACATAGCCTATGTAAATTCTGAAGTATTTAAATATGCACTTCCTCTGTTTTGCAGTCGAATGCGAGCTACAGCTCGTATATTAAGTAAATAAATTTGAGATACGTGATTTATTTTAAAATTGTGAGTTTCTTCTGTACTGGCATGTGGTGTTTATTTTATTTTTTCAATTTGATTTTAAAAACTCTGTGTATGTGCAGCGGAGGAGTGTCGTGTGGATCAAGAGAACATGCTCATCCCTATCATCGTGGGAGCAGCTCTGGCCGGTCTGGTGCTGATCGTCCTCATCGCATATCTGATCGGCAGGAAGAGGACACACGCCGGATACCAGACCATCTGATTGTCTTCATCATCATCATCATCATTCTCCTTCTGCACTGTGATCAACTGCAGCTAGACGCACTGGAGTGAGAGTGAGTGTTTGCTGTAAGGTCAGAGGTCAGCTGCAGCGGTCACTTGTATGTGTGTGTGTGTGTGTGTGTGTCTCTGTGCTGCGAGGTCAGCTGCTGTGGTCACAGGTGTATGTGTGTGTACGTTTGCTGTGAGGTCAGAGCTCACAGGTGAGGTCAGCTGGAGCGGTCACTTGTGAGTGTGTGCTTCTGCGCTGTGAGGTCAGAGGTCAGCTGCAGCAGCATTAGTGTGTGTTTGGTCTGGACTATATAGTGTCGATAAGTTCAAAGCTGTTATGAATGAATGAATGTGTTTGTGTGAATGATGATTGCTTGAGTTCAGACGTTCAGCACAAACTGGACAAACCAGTTACTCTGACAAATCTTCCCTCATGGACATCCTCAAGTCCTCAAAAATAATTTTTTATTTTATTATAATGTTCTTTATTATGTTCTTTTTGTTCTAAACATGCTAAATGATTTCTTTTAGTGTTTGTAGTCATTTTAATTGGCTTTAAGTAAAATTAATAGAAGTTTATGACCTTAGCTTATTTTCATAAGTGTGTGTGTGTGTTTGTGTTTCAGGTGCCCTACATTATAAGAATTTAAATTATAACAATTAAAATATGATTAGCTCAGTATAAAAACCATTACAGTGTGTGTGATGCTGGCATTAAATGACACCTGATATAAATAATAGATGTTTGTTCTTGTTTCTCGGAACATGAAACCTGAAAAGAGCCGCTGGTGAATTACCCATGATCCTTCACACAGGCACACACGATCAGCAGGTGTAAGGGGCCATTCACACTGAAAGCGCTTGTGCTGAAAAGCACGAGGCGCTGCAGTGGAGTGGGAAAATATGCAAAGCCTTTTAAAAGTTGAGCACTGCAATTTTAGAACCGTGTTTCATGTATGAGACGCTGAAAAAAAACGGTCAAACGCGTCCATCTAGCACAGTGGTTCTCAACCCGCGGCCCGTCACAAATCCAAATGCGGCCCACCATGCCAAACATAATTAAAAAATAAATTCCAGTTTTACAATTCATTTTAGTTTTTAAATTAATTAAAAAATGTACTAAACAAATATAAGTTTGAGCTATAATGTTTTTGTCATATAAAATAATTTTGGTTTTCATATATTATTTTCAGACGTATGCGTATGTACTAGACGTATGCTAGTATGTACTAGCATATGTACTATGCATGGGCCGGTATGAGATTTTGACCTTAAGCAAAAATATCACTGTTTCACGGTATCACGGTATTGTCATTACAGCTCTAAAATGTGTTATTTTTAAATGACTGGGTAAAAAAAATAAAATAAAAAAAAAAAACGTTTTTTTCCGAAAAATTTTGTTTTTGAGCAACATACAAATATTAGGAACAGTAGAACTTTTTCTTTGATTTGTTTCCTAAAAAGAAGAACAATAAAGACTGACATATTTATTTAACCTAAATCTGTAATTAGTTATTTAATTTTAGTTATATAATTCATATACATATCATTTATATCATTTAATTATATAATTTCATATACATATCATTTCATATCATTTAGTTATATAATTTCATATACATAATTTGATTTAATAATAACCCAATTTGAAGCAAAAACAGAATGTTCTGACTAGCTTTGTGAAATTATACTACATGCCTGAACGAAGCAAACAGCAGAAGCTCTGAATGAGACGCAGATTCACTCTCTGACAGCAGGAGGCGCTTTTGGAACACCAGATACAGCGTTTCCTTGGTTACCGCCATAAACAAAGCAGCGCTGCTGCGCTGAAACACTGCTTTAAAGTCCCCATGAAATCAAAATTAAAGTTTTTTTTGGGTGTTAGTATCAGTGGTGGAAAGAGTACTGAAAAAATATACTCAAGTAAAAGTACCATTACCTTCCAAAAAATGTAGTGTGAGTAGAGTAAAAGTACTTGTCCAAAAAACTACTTGAGTAAGCGTAAATGAGTAGCCTATTTAAAAGTACTCATGAGTATTGAGTACTGAGCTGTGGATTCTACCCCCTCATAATAAACGCGGTACACCGCAATTTATACATTTTAAAAACGTTGTACATTCTGTAATTCACATTATCTTGTTTGTCATAAAGAATGAAGAGTATCTATCATCCAGCAGTTTTAATTTTGACTGCCAACTCTTT